GTGGAAGTGCCCGAGGAGAAAGTGCTAATGGGAGGTGATGGGGTATTGCTTTGTCTGTCCTCAGTCTTTCTCTCCTTACCTTCCAAACCCATGTCTTTTGTGCCTGCATCAAGAGGCTGGGAAGTGCCCTCTGGTGCACCCACCGCTCCTTCCCCTCCTACACTGGATTTTTCACTAGGAGCATCCTCACCTTCTTCCAAATTTAGAGCCTTTTTGTCAGTAACCTCATCTGTGCTTGCTTCATGCTTGGTGTCAGATTTTAGCCCAGCATTCTCTTCTGATGTCTCCTTGGGAATATCGAGGCTTTTCAAGTCCAGGACAGCTACAGAGGAATCCTTCACTTCTGCCTCTGTCGTCACCGGCACTTCCAGCTGACTGGGGCACTGGGACTCCTTTAAAGTGCTTTTCACCTCCTCTTTGGGTCGCTGTGATTTGGCTGGGGGTTTGGACACCACTGGGTTTTTCTGTATACTCTGAACGTCTGTTGGGGAGAGGAAGGCACTGAAGAAGTTTTCTGATTCATCCACCACTGTCCTCCTCACCGGCTTGGTGATTGCTGTGGGTGACACCGGCTGATTCTGGGGTTCTGCAGCCGAACTCAAGCCCCAGGAAGATGTATCCCATCCTCCACTTATGAGAGAATTCGTTCCTAAAACAAGAAGAAAAAATAAAAAAGTGAGAAATAGGCAAAAAAATATTAAAATTTATTATTTTTCAGTATTTACCTTTTTAGATGCAACAGTTCGAAAAAGGGCATATTCAATATCATATAACTTAAAAGTGAATATTATACATGGTGATATAAACAATAAAAAACAGCATCATTTTCATTAATTACTACTTCCTTACAAAGCTTGGAACCAATTTTTAAACAAAGCAAAAGAAAATTACTTCAAGTCTCCCTTAAGCTCAAGAGTTAAACTGGACATGGGCACCTCTACAAAGCAGGAGTACCTGAACAAAACCCACTGGCTCCCACCTAGTTAAACAGTAACTTTAAGGCAGAAAGAACTCATACACAAACTGTAAATTCAAGAGTGACAATTCCAGAAAGCAGACGAAGAGTGAGGGAAGGGGAAACAAGCCCACAGAGCATTCTGAGAGCTGAAAGGGCAGCTCTGAAGGCTATTTGGGCACAAAAAGCGACATTGCTTTTGCAAAGGGAACCAGCAAAACCAAATGTGGTGTCCTGCTTCCTACAGCGTGAGGAGGCCAGGCAAAACCACCTGAAAAACTGCAATGAGGAGAACATACAGATTACAAAGGAGAAAACCATCACTAGGTCTGAAAAGTTATCTGCCAGCAGCACACAAACACTTCACACACCACTGCAGAAAACAGAAGGGAAAAGCTTTAAATATTTGCAGAATTTACACTAAGAGAAGGGTTTTTGCCCCTTTCAGTTTGTGTCAGGCTTCATATTTTTCCTCACATGCCAAGCACCAGCGTGGAGCTGACAATACACATCATCAGCAGCCCAGTGAGAGTTTTTTTCTCCTCCTGGGGAGAAATACTGAATTGTTTAGTTCTGAAGCTGCTCTAAAACAACATCCTATTATTGTACTTCTTGCAGGTTTTCCAGGACTTGTCAACAGCAAGGATAATGAGAATTTCAGCATCAAATTTCAGTAGCACCCCAAGTAAGAAAGAGAAATCAAAAAGCAATACCCAGTTTGATTTCGTACCTGCAAATATAATCTGGGTAATGTAACTATTTCAGGCTACTTAAAAACAAGCTCACTTTATACAGCAGTATCTATTAAAAATGCCCAGTTATAGTATTTAAAGCTGTCTTCCACTTTCAGGAATTCTTGGTAGCTGTTTGCCTCAAGTCTCAAATTCAGATAACTACTGCTGTCACTGCCCAAAATACTACAAATGTGTGATTTATTACTACAAACATCTGCTTTATTACTACCTTGTCCATGATTCATTTGCTGCAGAAAAAGCTCTGAGTGAACTGTAAACTCAGAACATATTTTGACATCTTTTAAAAACAAGTATGTTTTTCCTGAAACCAGATGCATGCTGATCTTTGCCGCTTTTCTTCAATTACAAGACTACTATAAATACTCAGATATAAATTAAAATTAAAAAATGTTTGGACAAGTCTAAAGTTTTAATAAATTAAGCAAGACACCATTTTCTACAAACAATTCCAGTGATTTAAGATGACACTGGACTGCTTGACTGACTGCCAAGCCCACAAAGGGACAAAGACATGCAAAACTGACCTTTGCTGAGCAATCAGCTTGGAAAACACTTTCAATTGCTACAGCTTCGAATTTTCAGAAATCTCACTCTGGTGCAGGTTCACCTGGAAATAACCTCCTCCTACAAATACATACACATCTTCTACATAGAATTGTAATAAGGACACTGATTTCAGATAATTTGGTTTCCCATCCTTTTGTTTATTCATTCTTATCTGTAAGATACTATTTACGGAGCGGAAAATAAGTTTCTAATGAGAGGGCTCGTTTCTGCTCTTTCATTTCCAAACAGCAACTTGGGACTGACCATTCCTTCAGGTTCCACATCAGCAAACATAAAAGAGAGACACCCTCAGGGCCATGACAACTTTTCCACCAACGCATTCCTCTCAACAAATATTGGAGGATTATGAGCTTGATGCCAGGGAAAGCGGAACCTTCACTTGGGTTATGTGGACCAGCCCTTCAGCTCCTATTCTGCTGTCGCAAGGAGCCAATCCATGAATGCCTCTGGAAGGGCATGGTTTCTCCTTTTTTATTACTGAGCAGGTTTTATCACTTATTTGCCCCTCAGCCAAAAAAAAAACCAAAATAACGCCTTAAGGAACACGGGTATGAAGCTCAGCGCAATAAAGGCAGGACACGGGTGACACCAGCGGGGCCCTGAGCTGAGCCTGCCCCAGTCCTGTGTGGGTGTCACCCTGCAGGGGAGCACCAGAGGGACCAGGGGTGGGTTACATAAACCAGAGGGGGCTTGGGACGGTGGGTGGGGCCGGGTTAAACCTCCCCAATTAAGGGGTTAAAGGGGAGACAGCGGGGGAGGAGGGCGAGGGAAGGGGGCAGTGAGGGAGGGGAGGGGGCTCGGCTGGCCGCCCTTACCGTCACCGTAGTCGGGGATGACGGCGTCGGGCCAGGGGCTCTCCTCGGCCTGGATGTCCAGCACCCGGTCGATGGACTTCTGCGCCTGCGACAGCGCCTGCTTGGCGAAGCTGGACAGCTGCGAGGCGTTGAACCAGCTCATGCTCGGCGGCTCCGGGGGGACCCCCCGCCCACAGCTCGGAGCTCGGCGGCGCTGCCGGCGGGGCCGCGGGCTCGGCTCGGGCTGAGGGGAGCGCAGGGAGGCGAAGGGCGGCCCGCGCAGGCGCTGCCGGATCCACGTCGCACTCGGGCGGGGCTGGGCCCGGGAGGAGGAGCCGGAGCCGCCGGGACCCGCCGGGAAGGGGCGGAGGGTCCTGCCCTGCCCTGCCCTGCCCTGCCGGGGGG